TATTTTTTTATTATGTAATATTTTGCGGAATTTTCGAAAAACTGCGTTCGGATACTTTCTTCCAGGTACTGTATATTACAAATTAAATCATCAACACTTAAATTATTATATCCCCCAGCTTCTGCTTTATTTTTACTTGATTCTGTAATTTTTCTATACTTTGAGTTTACTCTAATTTCGTTGCAAACTACACATCTGCCATGTAATACCATATTGGAAATGTTGGTACTAAGTAAAGTATGTCAAAATTGCGGATGCCGACGGATGCAGCTGGAATTAAATTTAAAAAACGTTAAAGAATATCTCTGTAAAGTTACAGTCGTGTCACGCATCAACGTATACCCATTTTAATTGAGCACACTGTTTTTTTACTTTAAAAATTACGTTACACGGCATAAAAAATTGGTGCAACATTCGAATGTCCACCATGCTTAAGAAAGGTTTGTAGTTTTTTATGAAAACAATTTCCTTATTTGTATTTCTTTGGTCAAGATTGACAAGTTTTTTCAAAACGAACTGAACACAGGCCTTCCATCCAAACTTAACTTAATGTTAAAAAAAAAAAATTCCTATACTGTATAACAAACAAACTGTTTCAGAAAACTATTGTTGTAGTTGTTTGTGATGTTGTTGTTGATCCTATGTGTAGATTATAAATTTTTCCACAGACAAAGTCTCTTGAACAAGCTAGGAAGGAGGCTTCAGACAAGTGAGAGGCTTTAACACTCTCGGTATGATTCTAATAAACTTCAGGACCATGAGTTCCACCCCTGAAATTAAATTGCATCAGTATCATCAAGTGTCTCAGATCAGATTAGCCTTTATATGCTAGAATGTTTTAAATGTTTGGGCAGTAAAAATACAATAAACAATTTAAATAAACAAGTACCTTGTATCTAATCAAATTAGACTGTTTGAGCAAGGCCCTGCAAACTTCATGGATAGGTCGGTGACAAAAATTCCTGTTTGTTATATAATTGGATCCAGACCAAAATTAAGTCTAATATATAACTCAACCCCTAAGGATTGCAATAGCATTAGAAAAAAGAACATAATTTGACCCATAATATATTACATTAAGAATCTAGTTATAGTAATTCACTGATTTTTATAATTTATAACATTTTAATGATTTTTTTTAATCTAAAAGATTTACTATATATTATATAAAGTATTGGTTTTAAAAAAAAATTTTGTTGCACTAAATATTGGTTTCCAGCTACGAAGTTTGCGAGGTCCTATCTAACCCACATCAGGGAAAATAAATCTTCTAGGTAACATTTCGTCAAACAACATTAATGTAACTGGTCAATAGAATGATAATTAAACCCAGAAAATTTTATTTGCTCCACCAAAAAGCTCTTTTACTATCCAATAGCCCGTCAGACCAATGGGCCAATCTCAAAACCAATAGGTTTTGCTAGTAGTATAAGGCATTCATAACATTATCATCATACTGTACTGAATCTTGGGGATCAAACAAAATCAGTGCCTATGTAAAATCAACACCTTCATTGGCAATTGATATTTGTACACGAATTGGTAGTAGCATTGTATTCATCTTCAAACCTATGAATTTTAAAGATAGTTGGCTTTAATGATCAATCAGATGAATCTACGGTGCAGATCATCTATAATCATTAATTGCTTATAGTAACAATTGGTAAACTTCAAAATACTAAAACAAAAAAAAAATTATACCATTTTAAAAAATTTAACCGATAAGTTTTATTGTTCATGACTCAAGCTTCAAAACTTATTGGCTGGTTTTTTCTTAAATTGAAAATTGGCTGAGCCTTAGCATTTTGAAAATTCCGAATTTTGTTATTAATGTACACTTAAGAAATTGAGACTAAATAAATTTCGTGCAACAACTTTTTTTTTCATAGAATATTTTCTACAACATACATTTGATTCATTTGATTTTTTGATTTTTTTATTAATAAATAAAAGTTCTTTACAACAAAAAAGTTCAACATTAAAAGAAAATCATTACCAAATTTGGTTGCGAGATTCAAAATACCCTATAACGAACCTCCGAGAAGCGAACTGCTCTCTATAACGAACTAAGATTTTGGTCCCGATTTTTTATTAATGAAGTTTGCTCTATATAACGAACTTTATAGTTAAATTATCTATTCCGTATAACGAACTGTCTTTGGGGGAACCAAATACAAATTTATATAATAAATAATGCTCTCTATAACGAACCCGTGAAACATAAACTTATTTATTATTGAAAAAAAATTTATTCTTCTTCTTTTTACTATTATTATTTGTTATTGTTGTTATTATTGGCAGAGACAAGACTGGCCAACAAATTATATGTTTGCTAATTGATTATTTACACATACACATCACTTTTGTCAAATAAAATGAAATAATATGCCTGAAATAATTCTTTCTACTTCACCTGTATTACATAAAAATGCTTTATTATCGATAGAAAAAATCAAAATTATACTTTGAACAACAAACAGGCAAGTCACAATTAACTGATAATGATTGAGATTAGTCAAAAATTTATTTAATTCTAAAGAACAATTAAAAAACTGATAATTACATGAATAAAATTTAATTTTTCTATATTATTTTCAAAAAGGATTGTTTGTCTTTTATGAATGAATGCGAAACTTAATGACTCGTAGCCAATAAATTACTCATAATATGTTCACGTGACCATAAATGAGATGATCGATAATTCTTTATAGTGAACACTCACCAAAATTCTCGGTCCAGGGGGTTCGTTTGACTGTATTGTAACATGAAAATTATTGTTGCACTTCTGAGCATAACTTTCAAATTTAAAAAATCTATGAAAAGAAAATTTGAGACAGATTTTCTTTTTAGATTAATAGACTCCCTTTTTAAAGCTGAATTGAATGGCGGCGGGTTTTTTAAAATCCAATGTGTGGTCACATAATATTTCAAAAATTTTAACTTTAGAGTATAGATGATCCGCACTGTATTACTGGTTCTGTTGTTGTAATTTTGTCAGGGTAGGTAATCGAGTTTTGCATATTGGACAAGCCCGTTTTCGATTTTCAGCATTCCTTTTGCCACAGATTAGACGTTGTTTGTTGCAATTATTATTATCGTTTGAAATACCATTCACAATATATAAGTTCCGAACGAATCGAGCCAAACTGGATCCCTAAATTTTTTTAATGTCATATTAATTCTAATAAAACGAATAACTCGAATAAACAATGATTCGAATAAGAATTTGTATTTATACAGATTAAACTTTTTTAAATTGATGTGTGTAAATTGATATGTTTGTTACAATTCCTGTTTGTTAATACAGTCAAACCTCGTTTCAACGAGACACATAAGAAATTGCATCTAAAATTCATTATACCGAATGACTAATTGTGCTTCAACAAATTTTATATGTTTAATATGTACGGAGCAGGATTTTAAAAATTCGTAGTAACGCGAATTTAATAAACAAGGTTAGTTGAAACTAGAATTTACTGTATTGCCAATGTTAATATTAATAAATAAAAATTTAATTCGTGATCCATCAATGAAGGAAAGGATCAACATAGTAAAATTCGGGGATAAGTATCATAGTAAAATCTATTACAGTCAGGGAATATTCCAAATATGGAAATGAATTCCAGAAAAATCCCGTCGATCAATTCATATATTTACAAACAAATTAAAAATAAATTTTCTGTATTACTAAACGCTGCATATTTTATCAAACCTTAAAAAAAACTATTTGAATATATTCCAACAAACATACACTTTCATAATCCAGACTGATCCACGAACCTTTATAAAGCAGTTTTTTCATAAATAAAACCTGAAATTACAATTATTTTGATATATTAATGGCAAATACAAGA